TCTAGTGGTTCCTTCCAACCTTAAGTATTCTGATTCATTCTATGATTTCAGTCCATACAAGACCTCCTTTAAGCTAAATAAAAATAATTTTCCTCAGCGAACATGGTCTATAACTTAATTGGTCAGTTCGGTCCAAGTTGGACAGGGACTTGCTCTTCCAGGGCTCTGCAAACACAGCAGCACTCGAACTGTCACCTAGGGTCATCTGCTGCAACCTGCAATGCCAGTAGCAGTATCAATCTATCAATCTGGTACTGACACTTATCCATGCTATTGCTAGGGATCAACAGGGAAGGCAGTGGATCACACGTGGAAAGCATCCTGCTGGGGTCAAGGGGAGTGGGTGCCTACCAAGGGGCACTGCTGCTTGACATGCTCTTCCCTAGCCATAGGTTTGATACGGATACTCCTAGAGGCTCGCTGAGGCTCACAAGGGCCAGCGTGGAATGTCTCTGAACAGGCTTGTTTGAGGTCTCAGTATCTTAACACTCAGTGACTAATATTTTACTATCATGGGAGGCTAAAATGTTAGGCAAAGTCTAAATGTTAGGCAAATGCCTCCTATCTGATGGGACAGCAGCAGGACGTGAAGGAAATCCTCCTTAAACTGTGTTTAGGAGCAGCAGATCCAGGTTCTATGACTTATTCTACTATAGCAAGTATATACTATTCCATATAGAGCTATTTCCTCCCATCTTCCTACATATTTCTTATCGCACAATACACTCCAGAAGCAAAGGATGTGCCTCAGTGCTTTATGACACCCAGCAAACCCAAGAAGCTTGAATAAAGACAAGACCAGAAGAAAACTGTCAAATTACACCTTATTTGTATTGACAAAGTAGGCAAAAGAAAGACTCGGTGCTCAGAGATACAAATTCATTATTTGCTGACAAATGCTTGCCTATCCATGTTAATGCACTCTTCAGTTTCAAGAGTATCAAATGCAAATTTTCTTTCCTTGACTAAGGAAAAAGAATGCCTATGAAACCATAATTTCAGATGAAAATATAGTTTCTGCATGTAGCTCTAACCTTACTGCAAAGTTCATGATTGGCAGCAAATAACTACATTTGGCCTCAGAAAGAAGTAATAGTAAAACTCTTTGTAAGGTCATTAAATAATAAGCATTAGCAGCATACCCAAAATACATCTTGTACAAATAACATTGCACTTGAACATACACAAGCATTTACCATTATTTACACATTATAATTTGTATAGAACAGTAAGAGTAATATATACAGAAAAAAAGAGTGGAAACTAACAGCCCTAGATGACAGCATATCTAGTGTTGACTCCTTTTTTTTCTCCATACAGTTTCCCAGGATGTCTCAGGAATTTTTCACTATATACTGGTGCATAAAAAATAGACTTTACAAAAAGTTCAATCCCTGGTTAACACTTCAGAATAACTCTATGTACTATTAAGTGTTCACTGCACTAGGGAACAAGGGAGTCCAGGTCAGCTCCTCACTAAAGTAACAGTACTCCACAGGCTCTACCTACTCACGCACCGTGCTCTACCTTGCAGTGGACACTGCAACCATGTCAACTGTGCAGTAATTACCCAGTGAGCTCCAAAGGCAGTTCCCTGCCACAGAGCATCTCCCACTGCCTTGCAAGCAGGGAAATCAACTTCTCTCTGCTTTCTGCGCTCGGGATAAAGACGCACCACTGGATCTCTCCACTCCTGCTGCCTTCTCGCTTCGCGCGTCCCTTTGGGGTGCTCTCAGTCTCTCCAAAGTGATCCAGTGCTAAGTTCTGCATCAGATCCTGGTTCTGAACATCGTCAAACACAAACGTGAGGGCCTGAGGATATGTCTGGTAACCCATAAGTACTCTGTCTAAATCCCGGATTCGTCTGCCATCTGCAAGCTGATATTTATCTTTCTTTGGTGGTTCCTTAGCAAATTCAGGAAGTGGGTAACTGATATAATCTTCATCAAAGAGGAACAAGTCAGAGCTGGTTAATATTAGTGTTTTAGGCTGAAGCAAGCTACAACTCGAGGCAGATCCTTCTACATGATTTACTTGAAATGCCAGCACATACAAAAGGATATTCAGGGACTGAAGGTTAGTCAAACCATCCATCTTCTCTGCCACGAGAAAAGCAAGGTCCCCGATTTCCTCTTCATTGGGATAAATAAATTTTACTCTGCTAGAGTGAATCAGTTCATAATTGTCCATTTTTCCTGCAAGGATAAACATATGTTAGTATTCAATATCTTCTTCATGCATGGGGATCAACAACAACGTTTGGTAAGTACTGGCAGATGGAATAAGTCAAGTTTTAAAACCATTTACATAGCTTTAATTTTATACAACACTGATATATTCACTTCCAAATGAAATTAAGTGATAATTTTCATTTGGAAGACTGGAGTCTTTTGTATCACCATTTTTCTGCTAATTTTTAACCACATAACTCGTGTGAGTGAGAAGCAGAAGAGGCAGAAGGAAATACAGCCGGATTCTTATGGCAGAGCCTATCTGCCTTCCTACCAGCCTGTTTCCTCTCTCCCCCTTCCCACTGTTCTGAACTGACTGAAAGCATGATCAGAGCACTGAACACAAACAACATCCCTGCTCTTTTTAAGCAGACAGGAAGAGGGGGGAAAAAATAAAAAAAAAAGATCAAGATGAACTGCTGCTTTTTGGATGAGCACAGGCTACGTTCTGGAATAGCAGGAAGTCAGGCCTACTTTACACCCTGCGAAGGGGCAGAAAAATGCAGCAAAGCTTGCAGGAATCTTGTGCCTGTAAGCTTATCTGCTTTTTCATAACAAAAATAACCAATTACCTCATAAGAGATATTATTCCTCCCTTCAGTCCTTGCACTTTTTGAGCTTACAAGGCTTCACCTTAAGAGTGACCATAATAAACGCTCCTCCAGAAAATGCCATTTTATTTTGCGCCATGAACTGGTTTTAGGATTAAGTCAAAACAGCTACTTCTGACATTTGAACTTAACCCAACATGCCTTAAAAAGTCTAGTTCTTGCTTCTCTGCCTTCTCACAGAAGATGAGGATTCCTTTATTTGACCAAACTAGGAACCACAGGACTTGTGGAAAACTCCAATTAGAGTAAGGGAGTTTGGCTGAAGTATGAGGAACAGGACATCCTGTGAAGGAGTTTGTCACTGTACTGTAGACAATGCTCTAAACACATAGCCTGAACAGCTTAAGCCTTATAGGAGAGACCTTTTACCTGTGTTTTTATTCCCAAATTCAGAGTAAAAGTCTTTATCTACTGGCTCAGGTGAAGGCGTGCGCGCCAGCAGCGACAAAACCGCCATTAGCTGCTGTATGAAGGTGTGAGTGTTGTAACTATCTCTTGTCAAGCAGGTGACGATATGATCTGCAGAGGGTCCTGCAAAGAAGGCAGAACAAAGCATTCACACATCTGAACATGCTTCATTATATATTTTCCACCAATACAGAACTGTTGTCAAAAATCTTTCCTGCAAGAATTAGGTCTTTCAAAAATGTGCAGTTTCAAACGCAGTATTTTGAATCACTTTCTAATCCTTGGAAATGACAACAACCTTTTACAATCTCCTTCAAAATACATTATGCAATTTCTCTTGATTTAAAATACAACACACATTAACTGCAAAAAATTGCATTCTGGCTGCTGTACGGACTCGTCCTTACAAACTTTGAGACTCTGGGGCAAAGCAGAAAATTTAAACTTCCACATTATTTAGAGTTACTGTCCTACATTTGTAAACTTTAAGCCTTATTTCACATCTGAAAAGTCAACTACACATTCTGCAGTACAGACAGTACCTTGATTTTACTCCTCACTGCAAACCAAAACCTTGCTACAACAAAGTCTTAAGACTTTCTTTTCAATCTCTCACTAAGACACAAAAACTTTTAAAAACACTTGTGTGACCAATTAATTCATTGATATTAAGCCTCCTAGTTACTGAGTGCAAGGTCTTGCAAGACATAATCGGCCTACTCATTTATACAGCACTACCAGCATTATACTAATTCCTTTTACAAAAAGGCAACAGCAGATGCCTAGAGAGACAACAGCCACTAGGAAAATTTAGAGCTTAAAATGCACTCACCAGTAATTCTGAAGTACTGGTCAAACAGGCCAACATTTACTGACTGCAGATCATTAAGTTTTAGCACAAAGTAGCAGGAGAGGTGGAAAGAACTATTTTCACAGTCTGAGTTTTCTTGAGTCCAAAAATCTATTGAAGAAATATAGTATAGGAAAAAGCTGCAGAAGTTTCCTCCAAGAGTATAATTTCTCAATAAATTGTTAAGTATCAAATAAGACCAAATCTCTGCCCATACTACTCTGCAAGCAGCTGCATCACACAGATTTAAAATAGCATATGCTTCATTAACCAGTCACACAGTTAAATGCACAGCATGACTTTCAGTTACTATTTTGGCTTTTTTAGCTGCTGAGGTGAGCCCAGAGAGTATTAAATGACATGTGACAAAAGCTTGGACAGTACAGCACATGGAAGGGCCTTGTATGAGAAGCAGCTATGACAAGACTGAAACCTGCTTTTTAAAAATAAAACCCTCAGACCCTTTGCAGAGAGCAGACCATATACCCCTCTCTTCCTCAATTAGAAGGCCCAAAAAATAATGCCAGGTAAGGCTGGTAATGCAAAGGGAAGACAGAGACCGAGTTCATTACCTTATTAGAAGCTTGAAATTAATAACTCTTACCTGACTGGTGCTCATGAGCACGAATGAGAGAATCATCCAACAGAAAGTAAATAGCTTTTGTTGAGAGAAGCACACAAGCCATCGCTTCCACATCGGGTGTTTTGTAAAACAGAACCGAAGACCACGTGAGATGCCTCAGCTCTTCATTTTCCACCTAAGACACAAATCACTTCATAAATCACTTGTGCATTTTGATCTTTCAGTTTCATCAGTTTAGAGGCAGTTTTAGATTCCTATAAAAACAGTTTCTAAATCTGAAGCATCTGAAAGTGCTATTATCAAAGAGTCAAAATTTATCCCAAAGTTGCTGGACACAGCTATAATAGCTGTCTACAGAAAATGTTTTGTATTATACGTAATATATTTTTCTATTCTGAACTAATTGTTTGTTGTTTCCAGAAAATAAGAAATCAGAAAACCCTTAGTCTTTCTAGTGCAGACACTGAAAAATTTTATCGGCTGCCACACACAGCAGCACTTCCCAAACCTCAGCAAGTCTATTAAGCTTACAGATGCTACCGAGGGGCTGCATTCCAAGAGCCTCAAGAGAGAGGATAGAAACACAGGTAGCAATTAAAGCTGCTATTACAGCTAGGCATCCTCCAAACTTTTAGCTTGATGAGCTTATTGCAAATTCAAACGAGTCGTTTGCTTTCCTCATCAGCTCCCTCCAGGTGTAAAAGGAATGGCACAACTTATAAATAGTACTTATTTTAGAAGATTTGGAAATGATGGAAAAGAATAAAAAATGTAATTTTCTTTCTGACCACAGTGATCTTTCTTTTTACAAGTCGTATCACGAATTTAAGGTAAGAGTCATACTTTCAAACTTTCCACACAGCATGGAAAGCTTAGTCAAAAACATGATTTATCTGCTTAGGTTTCCATGGTCTCTACAGCCAAGTCCATGTGTTGCATTTATGCACATGCATTAAACAATTAAGTCATCAAATTACTTTCTAACGTAGTCAGGTAACTATTTTTATCTAGCACTAAAAGGTCACATCTTTTTATACACCTGGGTTAGGCACAATACCTCTGCAATGTTGCTATGGAAAAACTCAATTAGGGCATTTCCTTTCAGTCCAGCAATATACTGCAGAGACGCAGAAACATTAACGTGAAGTGGAATCTGGTTATCTTCTGTAATCTTCTGCGTAAGAAATTCAGATGGATATAAAGATGACAGAGTCAGATGAGGCTTGCAAAAGCTAGGAGACACAAGAGATCCAAAAAACAACATTAAAAGAAATGCACAGGCCTTCTACAAAAAAAATACTTTGCATTTAATTCAACAGTTAGGAAAAGACAACTTATCAATATCCATAGACTCATTTAATTTAAATGATCTCCTATGCATAAAGAGAAAATTTGTCAATCTGTCATGACCTTGTCACCCTGCGAGTGCAGAATGAGGTGGAGAAATGAGAATTTCTCCATCCATGAGAAATAAGTTATAACTGCAAAACAAAACCGAAGTAAAACAAAATTCAGGATAAACATTCGTGCATACTATATAAGAGCAGAAAGAACAAACTTCACCATTATAGATGTGATCATCAGATCCAAAACCAGCTCCAGTGGCAAACGCTGATAGTGGTTAGGCCACATCAACTTTAGCACTGGGCACTGTTCTTGTGCAAGAATAGTCATTACCTTGCTGACTGACCATGCATGCTGGACTCCAGGAAGTGATTTCTTACAGAATCCAATTTGTTTGAAGCTTTGAAAATAACAATAGTCTTAACATCCTGCAGAAGTGTTCTTAAAAGACTGTAGATTCTTAGGAAGTGGAATTTCTCATGAGGTAGAACAAATACTGCTGTAACCAGTCTGTATCCAAGAAGCAACTCCAGCACGTGCCCATCCAAAAATGATCCCTTCTGCTGGGTGCAGCCATGAGTTGGATGCAACACAACTGATGCTAGGGGAATCCTGCTCAGCTTGAAGACACTTCTCAGGTCTTCTGCACCTACCCCCTTGCCTGGCAGCACACTGAAATCTACCTTAACTATGTAGAAACGCTGGGGTGTTAGAAATATCCAACAAGGATGGAACACACAGGGGCCCTGATCAGCAGATTTATACATTGCTGGATAAAGTGCAGAACACAAAGCATTTTTGGACCATGCTTTGTTATTGTCAGCTGATTCTGGTTGATGCAAGGCCTTGTGAACATTAGTTTTATTCCTGTAAACGAGATATGTTGGGAAACATCCTTTTATCTCTACATCCTCTGATGATAAGCAGTTCAATTCCATAAGCTGACAGACAAACTCTTGGAGGTTTGCTTTTCCACAGTACAGTGTGGAGCTCAGTAACACTGATGTGCAGTGTTGAGAGCAACACGTGTGTAAACAGGAGTAAAAGTCTTGAAGATTCTGGGAGTCTGCAAGCACAAACAAACAGTGGTCACTGTCCTTCAGCTTGAGTGCCAAACAGATTTCTGGCATAAGAAAGCCAAATTCCATCAGATCCGTGTATGAAAAACACAGTGTTAATTTCAAGGCAGAAGGGATATGCTGGCAGTCTCCTCTCAATTCCTGATGAGGAATCTCAAACACAGCTACCATACTATCAGTCAAAACCAAACAGGAAGCAAACTGCCTGAGTCCTTTATGAACGTGGATGGAGAAGCTCCAGAGAACTCTGACTACATCAATGCTCTCTACTGCTGTGCTGTCAGATGGCTGAGTATCTGAAGTAATGCTGAACTTGAAAGTCTGCTCTCCTTCATGAAGCCCCATTTCAAAATATCCATCTTCTTTCTCTATGGTTCTGGAATCACCCAGAGGGTTCCCTTTATTCTCTGTAAAGGAGGGGGGCGACCTCTGACCAGTCTGCACTATCAAGGCAGAAAGGTGCTGGATGAAATCCTGGTTTGTGGCAGTGTATGACATACAATTAAAAGGCAAGATGATGGTGCTGCAGGGATCAGGCACTGCACAGTGTTCTTCCTCTGAATGATCCAAACTTTAAAAGAGATAAAAGCCACAGTAAATACAAACTTGAATTTTATAATAGTTTATATACTTTTATAATAGTCTATAACTGCCTATGATTCACACTGCCCCTTCTCAAAGCTTGGGGACTTACCCTTGCTAAGGCAGTTAAGTCAGTGTTATTTGTACTGCACACAGCCACTGATTTAAAAGGCCAGTAATGCGTAATTCTATAGAAAGAGTTAAAATATTTACTCATCTTACATTTCCCAACTCTAAGCAGCATATCTCTGAGTTCAAGCATTCTGCAAACAGCTACTGCCAAAAGCATCCAGCAGTTCAAAGTTTAAAAACACTATGCACCATGAAATTGCTTTCAGTCAAAAAACACAGCACACAGTGAAAGCAAACATTTTGCCTTAAAGGTTGGGTTTTAAGAATACAGTGTCTGCAGTTATTACAGAAAAGCCTATAGGGAGATTTAAACCAAAGCTTAGATACCTAGCTTACCACATATGATGACCTCTTCCATTTTCTTTGGATGAATCCAAAAGAGAGGCGGGTGCCTAAGGAGAAGAAAAAAAATCAGAAAGCCACCAACTACTACTTATGGCTGCTGACACTCTTCAGCATACATGAAAATCAAAGTTAATGTTGGCTCTAGCATTTTAAAGCCGGTCTACCCATTGCAAAGTCCTAGCTGTAGTACAGTTGAATAGCTATCCTTGCAGAATCTAATTTGAGAATCCAGGGTGAAAGGGTTTACCTGGTTACTTCAGCTTGGGCATTCAATTAAGGCAGGCAAGGACAGACTCTGCTGCTGGTTTGGGCACAGATCCAACCTATGGCCCATATACCTTCTTTCTGCACATTATCAGATTTTACTGAGGCTGTGTAAAGTCATGTAAAAAGGTAAGGAAGTTCTTGAAGACCAACTACAGTGGTGGCAAAGGAGGAGAACTCAGAACTCCTACCCTTAAGCTGGCACTCATAGTAATGAAGAGTGTCTCCAATGCTGACGATGGTATAATTTAGAAGCTATCAAGCAGCAGAAATTTGAAGGAAAAAATCAGCCATCATCTATTATAGAAGTTTCTTCCAAAGAGTGATGTCATTGCAACACTGCAGTCCTACACTAAGTGGATCCTAAATTACATGTGATAGCAATACTGGATCAACATATTGCAAGTCCTTGACTTTAAAAACTAATAAAAGCAGTGGTACCAGTAATCTACAACTAAGATGGATTATTTGCTGAATTTGAAAGGTGGACCAACCTTCACACAGTTTAAATCTACCTCCCTTTTCCAGTATAATAGTTTTGAAAAATCAGAATGACTTTGCTAGGAATTATTTTGACAAGAGAAGTTTAACATCAGAAATAAAATTTGCAGGAAACTTAAAAATGCTATAAAGTAAAGATAAGAACTGTATTTACCTGATTTTTACATCTGGAGTCTGACATTTCAGAGCATCTCTGGGGAACTGTATGGTCTGTAGGAGTCAAACCACTGGACTGCAACGAACTGCTGGCTAGGACTGTTTCTCTATCAATTATTTCTAGAATAAATACAAACAGTTCTTAACAATACTGAAACAGAGGCAAGACGGGTTGCGAAACAGGTCATCTAATCAAAATCTGGTTATAACTCAGTAAGGGTAAAGGATGCTTTCACATAATAGCAGGCACAAAGCAAAATCAGGTACATAGCAGTTAAAATTCCTTTTTCAAGCTATCAGTCATCATCAAGACCGTTATCTGGCATGAGAAGCTTTCACATGACTTCCGAGTTAGTTCACCAAGACATTGCCCAGGCTAGCAAAGCCAGCAGCAAAGCACTTGCTCTTTGGCAACTCTAACATTCTGTCAAATTTCTGTAGGCTTCACGTTAAAGGTGTAAATCCTTCAGAAACTCAGCCACACTGAAAAGCTCTGGTTCTCTCTGGTTCTGGAGAATTAACTCACCTTACTCAGAACCTTTTTGATGTGTTCAAAGATGACTGATCAGGAAACATTTTCCTGAGTGCATATGAGGCAATGCTCTAAGAGATATTTGATTTTTTTTTTGCTTGCTTGACATTTGCAGCATTGCATTAATACAACCCAGCAAATCGTTTTTCAACACTACCACCGAGCCCAGCAGTTTAAGGATATAAACGCACAAATGAAAACAGAATTGCAGTGTGGACGTATGACTGACAAGCATAAAAACTCCTGCATGCAGCACTTTCCTGGACCGATGGTAAAGTTCATCAGATTACACGAAATTGTCTCACAGCCAGAGGAAAAGCAAAAGGTATTTATTACTTGAACAAAATACTGTTAGCAAGAAGGAAACTCAAACTGACAGGAAAAATAGAACATGACAGCATTATTTTTGGTTTTCTGTTTCCTAGATAAATATTTAATCCTTTTCCATAAGCCATTTCTCAGTGACATTTAATTTGAGTAATATGTTACGGAAACAGATGGTGTCTACAAAAACTGCAGAGAAAATTCATAGAAATAGCATATCAGGAAATTAATTCCATTATTCATGCTTTAAGATCCAGTGAAACTCATTACCCAGCATATTTCAACATTTCTACATAGATTTTTCACCATCTGTATTCTGAAAGCAACCCTTAAGAGCTAAATCTACAGCAAGCAGATTTCTACCATTACAGCAGAGTAGCCTGTGCTGCTCCTCTTGCATTTTTCTGCCAGTTAGAATAGCCTTGCCTAAGATTTTAGCAAAGAAACTTTATGGGAAAGGACTAATGTATATACATCTCAAATCTTACTAAACTTGTAGCAAGTTTCTACAAAACTCCGAAGTACTTCAGAAAAAAACTCATTTTTCTCTCAAGACATTTGCTCCTAAAAGTTTGTTGCAATATGAAAGGACTACTCACTAATCTTCTTGCACTGTCACAGCTATTGCTACCATGCATTTTTACAGCTAGACCTACAAAAAACAGTAGATTCTTACGTATACAAACTGCCTCAGTCCTATAGCTTAGGCGATTTATACTCAAAAGCAAGAATTGATTTGAAGTTATTCAAAATAGAAGTATTTCGCACACATATGTTGGAAAAAGCTGGCAGCATTTTATCTGTAGGTGACAGAGGCTATCCAAAAGCATTACAAGAGTAAATGAACTACATAAATAACCATATCAGTAGCTGTTCTAAGTTGTTTGTCCTCAAATCAAATGCTCCCGGAAAAATTTCATTGTTATAGATTGAACTTAGAAACCTCTACTGATATGGCAGAAGACACAGCAATGGAATAGATTTTTTAACCAGGCAAAAGCAAAAAATATGTTCCTATTCCTAGTCACAATATTCCTGTAACCATATGTCATCCTAAAGGCTTCTGCAAAAGCTCAAAAGGAAGGTACTCCATTTTTCTAAGTTCCTTGTACAACAGGCGCTTTCTTTTTTGAAAGATCCAGTAAAAGCTTCCAGGTAAAGCTAGTAGGAGCTACAGCACAACAGAAATGCCCAAACACAAGCTCAGAGTGATCACCGATCCCGTAACTTGTCTTTCCTCCGCTCATGTACTACTCCTTGTGTCCTTCAGATTTCATGACAGAAATGTAGTTCTTGGCAAAAAAGCCACGGTGGGACAGGTACTATTTCATTTTTCGATTCGCTGTAGCAAGATACTGCAAGAAGCAGTTTTAATACCTGCCTATACTTTTATGTTTTCCATTAAGCAGCTAGGATACACATGTCAGCTGGGAAGAGATACCTAGTGCCCTGCTGGCGATTTCTGCAGGACAAGGCAGTACAAGTCCTGCACTCGAACTTTCACCACTGTTAATTAACCTTGGTGAACAACTGCCCATTCACACGCAGCTTGCAAGTTCTCCACCCACGGAGAATGTCTTTCTGCTTCATTTTGTGTCAAGAAGCCCTGTACCAACGCACATAATACTCATGTATATCAATGCAGCTTCAAAAAGCAGAACCAAGAGGCTCGGCCCAGCAGCACGATACATACATGATTACCTTGGCTGGAGCTGACAGGACGAGGCAGAGAGGGAGAGGAAGGACGAACAGTAAGAGAAGAACAGTTGGATTTGGAGCTGGCAGCAGTGAGCCTGGAGTCCTCACTGATCTAATAAAGAGAGTATGCCATGAGCAAAGAAAAGACTAAACACACGGGACATCAGATCCTGAACTATAACCCGTCTAACACAAGGTTTCTAAATTTTAGCACTAGTTTTCTTAAATTTAGTAATAGTGAAGTTAGTGCCAGCATTTCTTTGTTGCATCCACCGAGGTTTCTATTTTCTTACTGGAATTGCACGAAAAATTCATTCTGAGAAGTCATTCTGATCACTAATCATTGTGTTCACTGAGAAGAGTTAGTTTCATAAAACGCTCAAGAAAACCAAGATTTCCACCCTGCACTGACAGAACAAGCTCTGATAGTAGTTTTAATTCCAAGTAGGACTAATCAGCTACACAGAATGCTAAGAGCACACATGCAAAAACGCAGAGAGGATGCAGACTTTTCACTAAATAGCCACAAGGAAGATGGCAAAGTCACTTCAGCACTCTGCTGCACACAGTAAAAATACGTTTTTGCACTTATTTACTTATTTGCCCTTATTTAAAGCATGGCTGTTATGGTTTATTGTACAGTCACTGTGTTAAATCATCCTGTCTTTTCCTCCCACTTTCTCTTTACCAAGCCAGCACAGAAAGGAAGGCCAGATAATTACTGAAAATATACTGAAAACACAGGAAAAAAGTTCATCTCATATTAAAGCAGCAAAGATATTGTAAGAATTGCTATAAGGAAAGCTTCATTAATCAATTCCCCTGAGACCTAATTTATCTGTTCGTCTAATTGGCCTATATTTGGCCAAGTGGAAATATATTTTAGCCTTTTTGCAAGATTCACGACACCATAATCATCATAAGCAATTGACTCACTTCTCCCAGCACAACTCCGGCTCACCTTTTTATCCGAGTTGCTCAGTTTGTACTTCACCTCCTTTGCTTTCTGAATAGCTTTCAGCACTTCCACAGTGTCTAGTTCCTTTTCTGTGGTAACAATGTTATCCAAGCAGACCTGAAAAAATGCGTAATATCTCCCAAAATTACATTGAAAATAAAGACTTTTTGAATTAATATAGTATTAGCTTAATGTGGACTTTGTGTATTTTACAACTATTACACACACAAAAAAAATCACATTAGACCCTTGCTCTAAAATGGGATTAATTTAATGTACATTCAGAAGCACTTTAAAAGTTTAAGACCTTTCTAGCACAAATACTGCAGTATTAATATACTGCTGCTTTATCTGAGTGAAGACAGGGTAGCATTTCTTTTATATCCATGGACATAATGGAATACTACTAAAAGTTTTATTCTCTAAAGACCTTTTTCAATGCACAATTAAAAAATCAACTTTAATATTTGCACTACTTTCCTCATTTTTTTTTCCTTGAAGTGCACCATGGCTTACCTCTGAGGCCCTATCCCCAAATTGAGCAAGCACTTTGGTCCGGTAATCAGGAATGATGCTCAAAGGATTGCTGGATAAGACCACCTTTTCTAAGCATGGGAGGCTTCCTATATTTCTAACTTCATCAATCTGAAAGTTTATAGAAAAATAAATGAATGCAAATAAATAAACGAAGCACCGTCACACAGGTTAAGCATCTTTAGCATCAATTAATGTTATATATTGTTCATTGTCTGGTATAACCAGGGTAAGTTACTGATGAGACATTTTTAATTTGCAATTTCACTCTTCAGAATACTTGTCTTGCAATTCAAAGCACAATTCAGTTTGACCCTGAAAAAGATCAACACTCACCTGCTCTATTTTGTTGTTGCTCAGATCCAAGTTGACTAATGAGTACAGTTTGTTAAGACCACACAGCCTTTCCAGTTGATTTCCTCCTAAATTCAGCGTTTTGATGTTTCCTAGTTTTGTGTGGACACCTTCTAGCGTCGTGAGCTTGTTGTAGGATAAGTCCAGATGAACAAGGTTGTAAAGATGCTACAAAAGCAGGGAAAATCCATGTCATACACCATATCATTAAAATTATACCATATTAGAGACAAACATTAAGAACTCTGTTTTGTGCAGTGTTCATAGGAAAACTGCCTAGTCATAAAACAGGCTAGGAAATTATTCTTAACCTAGGTCTGAAATTGTAAAATGAGAACTTCCTCAAATGCAGTTTTACTAATTAAGAAATATGTCTGGCAGTGAAGGCAAGAAACAAAATGCTATACAGCAATGTTGGCAAAGAAATGAAAACATCTAGAGCAAATCAGAAATGCACCATTAAAAGAGTACTTCATGTTGTTATAACAAGTAGCCTATTTTGTTTTAAACAGTTTTCCACGATAAAGCTCAGCAACAGAATTCTGAAACAAGAAACAGGTTTAGAATAAGAAAAGCACCTTGGAAAGCATCATTTACCTGCAAGTTTTCCACCAGTGACACCCCATTGTGACTCAAATCCAGGAATTCAATCTTCGGAATTAATTTCTAGCAGGAGGAAAAATGCTTGTGGTAAAATGCACCATAGAGTGTAAGACAGGACATACATCCTGCATTGGCAGCTGACTGACAAGCAAACAAAAGGCATCATCTCCTTAAGTTATGTTACTGCAGCTTAAAAAGTATTCAGCGATCCATCTTAAAGTCACATTTGTGACTAAGTCACAGTTTGAGTAGAAAAGTAGCTTTTTTGTTTCACAGGAGAAATCTGAGTAAAAAAGCATGTTTCATATGTTCTTGTGACAAAAGCCAGATTCTTTCTTTTCCTTAATAGCCAAATAATAAAATGGCAAAACAAGGTATTGGCAAAATATTTCAGATGTTGTTTCCATGCTCTACCTACGGTGCTGATGTCAAGAAGGCTGACAAAAATCAAATATTTCTAAACATGCAGCAAGCTTCAACTCTGATAATACTCCAAAGTCTAGACCACAAAAGTTTGCTTGGTTTATTTTTGTTTTGGTTTATTTTTGTTTGTTTTACTTTAAGTGGCTTAAGGCTAATGCAAACAGTAAAAATGCTTCAAAGTCAACATTCATGAACATGTTACTTAGAGCACAGAATGACAAAGAGCAAAGAAAATATAGAAGAAAAGAAGAAATTTCAGCTTTTTTTAAGATTGTTTTCTAGTAAGCTCTAACTTGTGTTGCTAATCAACATTAAAAAGTAGATGCAAGGGAAAAATTCGTCCAGATGAATGAAAATATGAAGTAAATGTAAAATCCCTGCTATGTGATGCTCTACAAGAGCACAGCCAGTCTTTCCCTCCCTGCACAAAGGAAAAATAGTTCAAATGAATCTTACCACCGAATCGTCAATTTGAGATATGCTATTGTGACTCATATCTAAAGTCGTTAAAGTTCTCCACGTTGGGATAATTGCTGTCACTGGACAATTTGAAGTTGCACCCTCTGGCTCCCACTGATCAAACTCAGAGGCCTCAGGCACAAGGATTTCCTATTTAAGACAAGCACAATGAAGTGTTACATTTGTGTTTTCAGGGAAAGCTGACCATTTTGAAAGCAGTCCAAATGGCCATGCACACGTAAAGGAAGATTGCTAAGCTTCCTAATAATTTAAAGTTTCAGGTCTTAAAACATAAACTGCCTGGGCCAGAAAGCAGGCATGTTTATTCTAGACTGACAAGGAGAGACTTCCAACAGCAGCAGCCACTCTGAACCAGGGAATGGAGAATCCAGGAACTGAGAAAGCTACGTTACTATAGGTATCCTTCCCAAACTAAAGCCCAAAGAACCATTCAGTTCTTTCTGTCTGAACAGAAACAAGCAAAATGTACGTTACTATAGGTATCCTTCCCAAACCAAAGCCCAAAGAACCATTCAGTTCTGTCTGAACAGAAACAAGCAAAACATCCCTGTGAAGGGACACATGCACTTCCTCTGCATGCATTTGCTGCATGTTATTTTTGCACGTGCTTTAAGCAACTCTTACCTTCATGGATGTTGCTGAAAACCGAACACTCATTGTGGCTAGCGCATGTTTTGACGAAGTCAGCCCTTTAATGAGTTTTGCCCCACAGTGATTTATCTGTTTTGAGAGAAAATTATAATGTCGCATAATTAGAAACAAACGTTAGACAGCTGAAACATAGAAAAGGCAGCTGAAAGCATTAATATTGGGTTTTATAGTATTTCTCTAAAATTCCCTTCTCATAACACAGACAAGCCTGAGATTATCAGATCACTAATACTGAAAGTTCATAAAAACTAAAGCAAATAAATTGAGACTTGCAGAAAAGTGAAACTGAAAGAGTTCTTTGAGAAAAGGTTTTTCCCTACCAACTCTGCCTCCCCATATATTGCCTGAGATGAAACTACCCAGGCAGTCTGACAGGACGCAGCATTTTACTGATACTAAGAGTGGTAACTCATAGAAAACTTGTGGCTCCACCTGCAGACAAGTTCATTTATGTATCCTAATGTGTTCTTTATTGCAAATAAAAAATGAAATGCCTTGGGAACAAAGGAGACTATGCTAAGAACTTAAGATGCTGGTGTACTAACTACACAGGCTGCTTAAGATGAGGAAGTGGTTTTGTTGATCATGCTGAATCTATGCCACCTAAAGGTCTGCAGCAGCCCCTGCAGCAAACAAGCCTTCTTGGTAAAGCACTGCACACTGCAAAACCACCACAACTAGCAATTTCACTGGTGTATTAGAGAAACCACACTGAACAGATGCAGGGCTCCTGCCTCCCTTGAAAGTCATTCTAGATCAGCACTGCCAATCTCAATAGACTTGTGTTTACTACAAGATGAAAACATTAGCTCGCTACCAGCCAACCCCAAACTTTTAATTAGAATAGAATGATAAGTCTTCATGATTATTTCCAAACACTGTACTCTCCAGTTCTAGCACCACGCCAAATTATACAATTACTCATGCTGAGATTATGCAGCAGATTTGCTGCATTTGCTGGCATTCACAGAGCCTGTATGAAGTGATGAGCAAAGAGTATCTCAGTCCTACCTCTATTTGGTGAAGTGATTTAAAAATTGACAGATCAAAAGGCAGGAGATGCTCCTGAATGTTACTGGTTCCAAAAGGTCCTCCTGTTCCAGTGACCTAGAAATCAACAATTAAAATCAGAGTTAATACTATCAAAAACACACTATTAAACTTGTCTGCATTTTAGAAGTCTTATACAGGCTATATCACAAATACAGCAACTTGGGAAAACCTTCGAATTCCAGCCAAATTTTCAAGTAGATCATGATTCAATAAAATTAGACAAGTCAATTTTTTGGAAAAAAATGTTGCAGTAAGTATGCACAGAAAGTAAAGAACTGACCTTAAACTGCCACCTTGTGCTTGTGTTCTGTAACACAAGGCACAGAAAAAAAGACATCTTAGGCAAGACTGACAAACTTTTCATCCTCAGCTGACCATAATGGGCCACTTTTCAGAAACATTTGGATCTTCCAAGACAGAAAAACCTTCATCACTACTAAACATGAAATTCAGGGGACTGGTGAAATGATTATGGAGGAAAAAAATTAAAAATACCACATAGCACTCTGTTGGTGCATATCAAAAAGCACCAAAAAATTCCATTTGGTCTTAATAGTTTGTCCTCAGAGAAGGTCAGCAGCATGAAAATGGTTTATTTCATTAATGCTTGCTGGAAACATCTAAATCTGCAGAGAAATCTTTCAGCTGTCTGTCTGGTCTTACCTGCATCTCAAAAACTTAAGGACTCATCCAAAAGCATTTAGAAGAGCCAGAAATCCCAAAAAACAAGGATGAGTTTTTTTTCTCTAAAAGACACTCTTCAAAGAATCTGCACTTCAGAGGATTTTTTAAACCCATAAAACGGTAAAGGCAACAGAAGTTCCACAGAAATAGCAGTATAAGTGCCTTTGTTGGGGAATTAGGTGTGTATTGAAAGCAGGCAAAATAAATATCTGTTCAGAGACATCTCAGTGCTTGCAGGAGCTTAAATAAAATAATCTGTCCAGCTTCTGTGTGTTCACACTAGACTCCAAGCTTGCTAAGAATCATTTCAAAGTCTGCTAGAAACAAAGCCTGCAGCATTTCTGCAAGTATAGCTCACCTTCAAATACTTGAGTCTACAGGTGAAATCCAGAATATGACCTAGATCAGTTTTGGCATCTCCATTAGCACATGTAGGCTTCCCCTGTAGCAATTGCTGAGTAACAGCATATAACTGCAGGGGTCTGATGCTAAAGACTTCTCCAGCCATTAGCAACTGCTCTCCTGTAAAAGAGTATAAATATGAAACATATTGTTGCAGAGAGTCACACAGCTTCAGTGGTGACAAAAGAACAAACGGGATGGAGAAGATCTAGCTAAGAAATAAAAGGTTTGCCCCTTACACTCGAAAAAATCACAGAGGCACCAAAACAACATATATTTTTATTGTTTCAAACAGATACAGGAAATGCACTAAACAGTCAAAAAATTGTTGAAAGGACCCTCTGAAATGGCTTTACCTAAAGTTAATTGTGCCAGAACAATCTAAAGCAACATATGGAAGAGCGCTTTGCCTACCACCTCAGCCAACGCCACTGCTCCAGCTGGAACTCACAATAGCCTCTAGGACCTCCTTTAAAACAAAATCAGCCTGGGTTGACCACTCCACACATCTCCTGCTGTCAGTGGACCAGTTCCACTTACAGTAGAGACAAAAAGAGCTATTGCACTTACAACAACTGTATTCCACTTTCATCTGCCAGCCTCAGAAAATAACATCCTTTAATTAACTGACCAGAATGTGTCATATTTCCCCAAATTCTGGAGGAACAGTAATAGATTAGACACAATGTGGTTTCTTGCATTTAACACATGGAGCACTTACGGATGTCAGCACTTGCTGGAACAAAAGAACCTTCCCTGCATGTCACAAAACATGCCAAAACAGAAAGCCTAACAAAAGCTTTTGATCACTAGTATCACATCTTATCCTTTCAGGACGTAACTAATAAGCAAGCTCCATTTAATAGCTGAATTAATGGATTTCTTATTTAGTTTCCAAAAGTAATTGCACTTCTGTTACTTCCTCCCCTTCCCTCAAAAGGACAGCTTGATTCAAAGTGCATCTGCCCTAACCTACAAGCAGCAAGAAAAAAATGAAGGGAAGAAGTCCCAGAGTCTGATATGCAGAGCCCAAGAATCTGAGTGTCTGGAGATTAAACATCTCTAGAACATGAATCCACACACAGGAACCTCTCTTCAGTCCCAGGTCGTTTCTGGCAAGTTCCTTACCTTTGTGAAAGAGCTCCTCAGCCAGTGCAGCAGTGATCCCATTGATCTCCTGCAAAGAGTAATTGAGTCTGTTATTTACATACTTATTACAATTTCTCACTGTACACCTTTGCTGTTGTTTTTCCAGAAACCAACTATGTGTATGACTAATGGGTTTATTTGCAGCTTCAAGGTACTTCAGAATAATAACTTGAAATTATTTAATTATACATGATTTCATTTCCAAGATGGGAGATACTCAACTTACAAGCACACCTTGCATATATTAAAAAAGGTAACAGTAGCTACAAGCAACTATTACTGCCCATTATTCGCCAAAGCTGAAAGCAAGCTTGTTTTTGAAGCAATTTTAACCAGTCATGCAGTATCAGGGAAATTTCTAGGTATGGTCTTTTCAAAAAAATTGTGACTTGCAATATTTTTAACAACTTAATCAAGTGCATCAAGCACTCAGCACTTCCTCAGAATACCACTAATATGCCCAAAACTTTAGCTGAACAAGTCTATAGAGAAAAAGGGAGATCAAGTCTTCTGTACTTCAACTCCCTATTGCACTTGCTGGAGAAAATAACTGGCAAGCTCTGTTCTCCACCCTCCAGCCTCCTGGGCCTATCCAGGTAACTCAGCTTCCAGTCCAGGCACTGACAGCTCCAGAAGGAAGAAAAAAGATGAAAACTTTCAATGGATGGCTTTGTTCCTCCTAAAACTGAGGATGCACAGAGAACAGTGCATGTATTTTCCATTTCCATTTAGACATGCTTCTCTCCACAACAAGCAAATGCTCCGTGGAAGTCAGTAGTTCTGAGCATTTCCAACAGTTCTCACAAGGGCCCACAAGAACAGCAAGAAACCACGCACTGCGAGAGCAAAACTTCCCTAGACACGCACACCTGATAAGGCAGCAGCAAAGGATAAACACACATTATGGATTATCATGAAATAAACATCTGATGAGCTTGCCCTGCTGACAAAGCCCTCATGATTCATAACGAGGGAATAAAGCTACAGGACACCTGCAACAGACTTTGATGAAACAAGAGCTTTAGAAAGGCATATTTCAATACAACCGGAACAAGCAAAGCCTCTGCACCAGAGTTTTGGGGCCACAAGGTAGAAGGAGCTGCGCTCCAAACAAAATTCAACAGCTCTGACTTATTTTGAACAAACCAATCATGCTCACCTAGCAGTACATGCTCAACTGAAGCTATACTCTGCATCCCTCTCATCGCTGGGGACACATTTTCCTACTTTTATGACTGGAGCAAGATTATCACCTGCATCATCCCTCAATTAACAAATAAAAAAGTGACTGCATCACTGTGCTAGGTCTAGCAGAGGCCCCTTTCTCAGCTCTAAGTACTTGTATGTAATTAGCAAAAAAGGCAAAAACCTTGCAGCCCCATATCACCGTGCACATCCTACGCAATGCACGGGTAATGTGCTGCACTACTATCAGCACTGCCCTTCTGTGCCAGGCAGGTCCTAACTTTTCTTTGCAACATATGAAGTAGAATTCATGTATTTATGGAAGGCTGTCTACTTGTAATTCATTCAGTTCTGTTAGCCTCAAAAGTAGAATTTAAAATTCCTGTCTGGAACTGCTGTATATAGCAATGGACAAATATCACAGTCTATATAAACTAATGAGGCAATATTAGGAATTCAATTGTATCAAGTATGAATGTGGGCTATCTGAAAACAGATATTTTAAAAGATCAAAGTTCTGGAGGAAAATTGTTTTCTAGTAGAATTGCTAAGGTAAATATTTAGCTTTTCTTCTGAATCACTAACATTTCTTGTAAATATTTAAAATTACTCTAACAAGCTCCAAGTAAACAACTGAATTTATACCTCAAGCCACTAAAGACAAAAGTGCAGATGAAGCAAGACCTTTGTTCCTAAAGCACAAGGGAGGTAAAGAAACCAAGGAGCACTCCTATCTAAATGATAGTTCTTTGGAAAAGTAAAAGATAAAAGGATTAGCACTAATGCAAGTTTAAAATAAATTCCTAGAAGCTTCAGCAAGTGAGTTTTGACTACTGGCAACAGGAAAAAGAAAACAAGTGGAAGACAGGGGAGGGAACAGGAACAAGCTGTGTCTGATTAAAAACTCTGTTGGACAATTCAGTATTGGAACATTAAAGAAACATCACTGCATCATTTAAGATAGCAGCCTGAGAAAATACAATTTGCTCAAGATCTGGAAACTTGCTTTATCTGAAAAGAACGGACGTCCACTGTCTTTTTGTTATGCAAGTTTTTAAACACATTCAATAACTCAAAGCTATTTTAGAGAGCTTGATCAAAATACAAACTAGTGTTTTTCACTCAGCCCTGCAGGGCAATTGCAACCCAGGAAAAGACATTTGTTTTCAGAATACACAACTAAAACAAGTTTTTCCTCTTGTTAAATCTTGATTAGCATACCTGATGATCACTTATACGAAGGCTTCAAAATTGAATCATAAAACCAGAAGGAGCCATCTCAGTACATCCCATCCCTAAAGCATTTACTGTTCTTCCTTTCCACTGAGCTCTCCAGTGAATTTTTCTCCTTTTAAAGCCCACTTTCCCCCTTGCAACATGATGCCAAACTACTAAAACGTAATTACTCATAGGATGCATGAAAAAATTGCATTCCAAGCAACGGCAAGTCATCACTCGCTTCAAGTTTCCTTTACTACAGTATTTTATCTGCTCTATAGTACTGGCTCTCTAGGCTGCTCTGACAGTAGGCTCTTGAGAAGTGCCATTTTTCTTCATCTGGCTACTGGAAACTGTTTCAGTGTGAATGGAAACAGAGCTCTAACCAACTAAACGTGTGAGGGGTGGGGTGATCCACTACATAATGCTCTCAGAGCTAGCACTACTGATTTCAGCTTTAACAACCAATTCAGCTGAAGCTGTATTTGCAGACTGCAAGTATTCTGCCAGCATTTATTTTCTTATCTCATATTCCCTACTCTGCCACAGTACCTACTACGATAAAGGTTGTGTCAAAATTCTCCTTAAAAACATGCTTATTGTGCTACACTGTGCAAAATCCTGGGGGGAAAAAAAGCTGTTTTAGACATTTCGGAAGCTTTAACATTCAACCCTCTCCAAGTTGTGAACTTGGAGGAGACTCTCAGTATCACATTTTATATGCTAAAAGCATAACTTACATATAAATGAAAGTGCAAGAAGTGTGACAGCACTTTTGGAGCAGCAATAGGAAACTTGACTAGAAGGGTTTGCAGGTAGACTTCTAATTCCTTTTGTCTTTTCTCCACAAGGCTTTTGGAATTTTTTCCGATAATCTTCTTAGGAGGTAACAGATTTTTATCTATTTTCTTTTCTGAAACAAGCTGAAATACAGAAAAAAACAGAGTTATTGCCTGATGCCACCTGAACTTACATGAAGGATACAAATGAATGCATTAAGAGCATGCTATCTCTCCCTGGTAAGATCCAAAACTAAAATCATTTCAGTAAATTAAAGCTATTGCTCAATTTCTAATTTTACTTTTAGAAGGAACATTTTATCTTTATTATTTTGAATTTAATAACTGTGTATTCTGAGAATATATGAAAATTCACATCCATCCTGACTAGCCTCATTCACAGGATTGTTCCACAAAACATGTGTACATCACAAAACAGAATGCAGCTATAAGAAAAAATGCAGAATAATGAGTTCCTGAGAAAGTAGCCCAGTCTGGAATATACTGGAATTTCTCTCATTTTCACTTGCTGTCTTTAATCAGTGCTGGTTAGTAACTGCCACATGCATCCATCTCACAACAGCTTATTAGCAACCCCTTGAAGACTGTCTTTGTTCCAATCTAGCATCTGGTGAGCAAAGTAGCTATCGTAAACATTTCTACTAACAAAAGTTGCAATCATTGCAGCCTGAACTGTATTCTTTCTGATACAGGCTTGTGTCCAAGGCCCATGTCCAGGCCAATCTCCTACAGTTCAAGAAGGGGGTGTAATCAAGGGAGATAATGCTGCTCATGCAAAAAAAGGACTTGAGTTTGCAGTTTAATGGTTTAGTTTCCATCTAGCAGACATTCTTACACTTTACCAAGGAAAAAAAACTTATATTCCACACAAGAGCTACACAAACTGTAAGTCTTGCAAGAGAGGAATGCCAAAGTTTTCTTATCTTTACCTTTTCATGCAGGTCGTGGAAATCACTGTAACGATGTTTGACTGTCCACTGATGGTTGCCAACACTGACCTGAATAATGTATACCTAAAAGAGAGAAAGTAGAGTAAGGAAAGGAACTAGAACAGTAGCCAAAGAAAAGCTGACTATGATGCATGTAGGATAACGTATTATTAAACGGTGTTTCAATATTCATAGCAAAGTACCACAGTTAACCGAAAGTTTAGCTAATCTCTACAGTGACCTTGCTGGTGCAGGATGCCCGAACCTCATTCATGTGACTGCTCTGCAAACAAAAATGGGAAGATGTTCATTTTATTTCCAAGAAATAGCTATTATTTTTCCAACCGGAGGTTTAACAACCATCATCTCAGAGCTACTTTTGCTGAGTATTTCTGCTAGCCAGATGAAATTGCCTTTCATACCTAGCCACAGCAAATATGAGACAGATTTACCAAGCTTCCCAACAGGCAAAGGAACTTGGCAAACACTCTCCTGTCACTTGTGGAAAAGCAGCCTGACCTTCAGAAGTCTAGGCAAATCCTTTGGCTGGCTGGATATTAACTAGGTTATTCCTTTCAGAGAAAAGCAAACATAATAGAGCTTCCTGATCATTATGACTGTGCCCAAAGAAACATTACAAATAATTAAAACAATCCAGTATTTATTTGGATAGGGCAACTCATTTTTAACTTTGCATGTACTGAATGGACACACCTCAAGATTTCAATGGCAGGTGACTTTCCAGAGTGATCCTGCAGGAAACTGGCAGCACCACAAGGAAAGTGTCTAGACAGAAAATACAACACACTGCAAAACTACCATGGCTCAGTAGGACCAGCTGCTTGAAAACCACCAATTAAAGAAATTGTTACCTATTCCAACTATCTTCTTTGTAAGAAATATCAACTGACAAGCAGATATTGAAAGCATTTAACACAGCAGGGAACTTGCTTGCTGCCACAGGTCACACAGACCTGATTCAGAGGTGCTATGGGAAGGAGGTACACCTACTGCTAATCTCACTTGAAAAAAAGCATCAATTTTCAATTTGTTACAGAAAAGAAAGGCAGTTTTCACTTACTCTTGCCACAGACCAGAGGAGTAACAAACATGTGGAATACCATTTGAATTGAGAGCTATATCACAGCTGCATTTTTTTGTACGAAACATCTGAGCCTTCAGCAAGTCTCTGGCTTGCTGAACAGAAAAAACAAGTCCTACAGACAACTGCATCAAGATGTCTGACTGCTGCACACAGCAAACGATGTGTCAGTGATCTGATGAGCAGTGAAAGATGACAACTGTTTACACAGAACTACAGCCTCAATCAGGGCTTGCGTCCGGCTTCCTGTCATGCTGTTGGGAAGCTGCAGGTCAGGACTGTTTACCATGGCTAAGCAGCCAGAACAGGAACAATCTGAGTATTCAGAAGTTTCCCACAACCCAGAGGAAAGCAAGGGGAGACTCAAAGAAACTAGGGGATTAAATTTAGCACTAAAAAAGGTACTACATTGTAATAAAGATATTACTTTGATTTAAAAGACAGCTGTGCTAAAAAAATCTTATGGGAGATAAAGCACTACAGCTAAAGGTGACAAAGATTGACTATATAATGGGTAATATCTAAGATTAGACACTGCCAACCCAATAAACTTCACAGTTCCCATCTGACAGCTTGAGACAGGAGAACACACGTTTTCTCTTTTTACAATACTCTGAAAC